TCCTTCTTGGATTAGACAGACTGAAATCTCCTAACTTTTCCCCCGTGTGGGTTCCGGGGCCCCATTGTGGGGAAAACAAGAATAGACCCACTGCCTCCCCAAAAGCATGTCGTAAGAGTCGACTAATTGGGGAGCTTCCTTTGAAGTCAGAGTGCATCTACCGGAGAGGCAAGGAACCAACAGTCTGTATTCAAGAGAATGAGATCTGTAAAACTGATGCACATGCAACACTCAGCCTCTGGAGCAGGACTGCAGTTCGGTAGTGGATGAGCAACCAGAACCTTCCGCCAGAGTTTACAGCTGGTGAACGCGAAGAAGAAGAAGAAGAAATCTCCTAACTCCAAACATACACACACACACACACACACACACACACACACACATCTATATATATATATATATACACGCACACACCACACGCACACACGGACGGACGGACGCACTCGTTCGCACACACACACCCACACACACACACACACGAGTCAATCGCGAGTGAGGAGTATTATTATTACAACCAGTGGGTTCAAGATTCGTAACTGTTGGGGATTCACTATATATTTCAGATGGAACAGGCTTATTTTTCTTTGTGCAGGTGGGATTCTCATACATGAGTTTTTTTTTTTTTTTTTTTTTTTGCGGACTGCAATCCTGGAGTGGAAAAACTGCAATGCAAAGTTATCTTTTTCGCATTCGCTGGCTGTAAACTCCATTGGAAAGTTCTTGTTGTTTGTCAAATTCTGAACCTTAGTCTTTTTCCCACTCAGAACTTGAGTTTTTGTTGCATATCCGTTTTACACTTCTGGCTTAATTGAAGCAGATTTTAGGTTCTCGCCTTTCAGTCAAATGCACTCCGACTTTGAAGGAAACACCCCTAAGTAGTCGATTTTTTTTTGTTTTTGTTTTGTTTTGACATGCATATTATGGGAGCAGAGGGTTTATTCTCCCCTTCTTCCCCGCCCGAAAAGGGGTCCGGAATCCATACGAAAATGCAGAGTTGCGTCCCTTTCCCCCTTGCCAACTACGGTCTACAGGTTACATCAGGCTGATGTAACCATTACATATTCCCAGGTTATCTTTTCTTTAGAGGGTGAACTGTCTGTCTATCGTAAACCTGCTCTTTTGTTTTGCTATCGAGATCTTGATTACATCTTAGGTTAGTCATCCTTCAAATGATATATCAAATGGAAAACCGATCGATCCATTGATAATATCCCATTCCCGCGCTTGACTGCAGGCTAGTCATCATTATCATGTAGCAGGTCCTTTGTAGAAAGTCGCTCTCATTAAAAAAATGGTTTGTTTGTTTTAGTATCCAGAAGCCATGAGTTGTTAACCCCTAGGCTCGGTATTATGGATATTGCAACCTTTCGGCCTTGATTCCATTGTAAATACCGTAAATCTGGGAGAAAATGTGGCTTTCCTGCCTACCCCCGGGATTGAACCCGTACCACAAGGAGTTCGTCACCCGGTCTCCGCGCAATCCGGTTTAGCCGACTAAGCTAGAGAGCCGGGCTAACGAAGCGTTAAAGCAGCGGTTCTCAAACTGAGTGCCGAGGCTCCCTAGGGTGCCGTGAGCGTATGCCAAGGCTTCTGCGACAATAATAAAAAATAGCTGGCTAAAATTTGTGAGATTATTATAGAAGGCATGTAGAACATTAAAAGTTAAAATTTAAGTTCTCTTTCCTCGCCACTGTCAAAAAACAGTGTTATTTTTGTTTGGGAACCAATTTCTGGCATTGAAAGAGTTCAAGTGTCCCATACTTACTTCACACCCTATATCCCAGTGAAAACTGTTTGCAAATCTCTATTGCATGTACTTACCCACACATTTGGGCGACATAGACCAAGGGATTCTTGAGCCTGACGATTTAGGGCTGTATAGTTAGTGCAGGGGCTACGATCTGTGCCCCTTCTTCAACCCCCCCCCCCCCTAAAAAAACCATAACCGCCTTGCCGAGTGTTCAGACGGGTCACCCGAATGAGAGCATCGATCTTATTGCTGGACCAGTCCATAGTCTTCTAGCTTTTCGATACATATGGGCTCAAAGTTCTCTTGCATTACCTTTTTAGAAAGGCAGTTGTCGAATCGCAGTGTAGTTAACAACTAAGCTATGCCAGCAATTAAACACATCCGATGTTAGGAGATCCTTAATTATTCGAATTTTACCACACATTGGTAAGTGGCACTAATTCTACCCCACCCCCTTTTTTTTAACCCTTCCACACAATTATCTTTTTCCCCTCCATAAAAATGGCGTCCCGGAAATCACACGGTGAAATGGAAATCTATATATATAAAAATAAATGTTTGTGTGATTGTTAATGAGCTATAGACTCGGAAACTACTGAACCGATTTAGCTGAAATTTTCAAGATATGTTTGTTTTGATACCGGATGTTTACCCATCATGGTATGAAATTCAACCTTTCATTGTTAGAGATAAGTGACTACAATTTTTGGAAAATTCTTCGAAACTAATATTTCGATTTTTAGTGTCATTTAATTATAGCCACGTTAGTAAATACTCATGCGCCGTAGTCAGAACGCAAGACTTCCACCATTCACCGGCGAGATACGTACAGCCAACGCCTTCTCTAATAAATAGAGTAGGCCGTGGTACAGCAAACACGACTATCTCTATATCTGTGCAGGCAATGATTGCCACAATAACCATATTAGACACGATTTTCTGTCTTTTCAAACAATCTTCGATGAGTTGGAGAGTAGCCGATGGATAGGAAAGGGGGAGGGGGGAGGGGGCATCAAGGACTATCTCAATGTGTGCGCAAACAATGACTGCGACATTAACTGTGTTAGATACGTGCCATTTCTATTGTGCTGTTTCTATAATATATCTGGAATATTTGTCTATAAGAAAACAATTGCCTGCGGTCTTGAGTTGTGTTATAATCGGGACACAGTAGTAGGAACACACATCTCAAATAGTTTTGTTCTCTTTTCGCTGTTCCGATGAAGTGGTTGCTTGGTCAAATGGTTAGAACGCTGGGCTCCTGTGCGGGAGACCAGGGTTCAACATTTTTTTTAAAACCTGAGAGCAAAATAAAATCTTCACCTGCACTGTCGTGGCGACAGCACTAGCCATGTGGCCCTTAATACTAAAAAAAAAAAAAAAAAGAGAGATATGTGGGTAAACCAGTTGATAATTAAATTTGAACATTTCGCATACATATGATTTCATTTTAAACTTTCCGATTGCATGGTTATGCTGAAATTTCATGTTTCGATTTATTGTCTTTAGATTTAATTATTTCATCTGCGTTGGAATTTTAAGCTGTGCTGTTTACCATAGCGTCCATTTCCTAATTATTATGTATTTTTCCTGTTTTCATTGCTTTTCAATTGGTTTTTTTTTTCTCCCAACTACTTCGATGTGGGAAAGAGTAGTCCGTGAATTGGGGGGGGGGGCACTCTTTACTGAGAGAGCTTTAAGTCACAGTAACTGCCTTACCCACTCAAAGTAGCAGCAGCAGTAGTAGTTGTGGTTGGGCTGTTACACCGTAGTGCTTTCATGCGAAGACCGCCGGTAAGGTTATGGCGTTCTTCTGTCGGGGAGCGAAATTATTCATCTTAATCTGACCGTCTGTGGCGACAGCACTAGCCATGCGGCGCCAAATCTTCTGGCTCACAACTCCCTGTCTACTCCGATGGTAAAACAGATAACAGTGACATTATTTTAGCTATTGTGATGGTGATCGTGGTCGTGGTATTAGTTGTGCTGATACTTGAAGGGTGATAATGTAAATATTACACTAGCCCCATTTACTACCTATTACAATTCCTGCTCCCCATTTTAGTCCGGATGGACAGGGATGTCAATGTTAGTTTTAAAAAACCGCTAGGTTATGATTTTCAAATCCTTCCAAGAGGGAGAGAGCAGTAGTCGGTGGATGGGGGGGGGGGGGCGGAGGTGGGGGGGGGGTAATGACTGAAATTGTTACCTTAAAGAGTTTAACATATGATTTTAAAGTTCTCATTAGTTAATTTGTTTATATTTTACTAACACTCCCTCCGCTATTCTAATTATTATACGACTTACTTTGTTATTTACAAGTACAGTAGTAGCTTTACTTCCGTCTCCTATAAAAATACAAACAGCTTTAGCATGTGATAACCAAATAACCATTTTTGTTTATGTGCTAATAACACCATTTAAACGACCACTAATATAAAGACACAATTATATAATGTTTGTAATCTAAAGTTGGAAAACCAGACTTTCTCTATATCTGTGCAGAGAATGATTGCGACATTAACTATATTAGACACGTGCGATTTCTATTGTCTTTCTTTTCCAAAAACCTCTTAATGAGGGAGAGAGTAGTAGGTGGATTTAGTGGTGGTGGTAAGGGGGGGGGGTGTCAACGACTATCTCTATATCTGAGCAGACAATGATTGCGACAATAACCATATTAGACACGTGCGATTTATATTTTCTTTCTTTTCCATTTAGCCAAACTATGCCACAGAAACGCGTGGCCGGGTACAGCTAGTACAAAATAAATTGCAGTTTTCTCTTATATCCGACAAGCTCTAAACAATGGTAGCAAAATTGCATTTGTATAAACACATTGTGAAATATGTTACTCAAGATAAGGTAAGTTTTACCCCACCAGGACATCACACAGAGCAATAAACACTCGGTGACACAAAGTGCCACTAAGCGGATGAGGATCACCTATGGAGAGGTCCCGAGAACCCCGTTTAACTGTTAGTTTATAATAGGTCCCACGGTAACAGCCAGGGTGGGGCTTCAAAATAACGAAAATGTGCATCCCCCAAGGGGGACGACATATATGTTAAGATGTAGCAGAATTGCGTGTGCATAAACAGATTTTAAAGAATATTTCACAAGTAATATGTTCACTAAAATTGAATGTTGTAAAATTATTAATAATAATATTCATGAACTCTCTGACACGTTAAAAAATTAATTATAATAATATTTATAAACTCTCTGAGCTATCTCTCAACAAAAAGCATCATCGCCCACACATAAAACCACATATCATATCAAAAATGTTATCATTTGTGCTGGGATGATAGTCCAAATTTTCGGTGGCCACCGTCATGTCCCAAGGGGAAATAAACATCACTTTATCTTTGACATCATGAAATATTTCTTGCTGTAAGTCCAGGATTGCTGTTGCTAACATATCACCAGCCACATAGTGATCTTTCCAGCCATTCCAAGCAATATGTGGACCCTGTAGAAGAAGATGGGTACTGTTTTTATGTAGTGTATATATGATACAACAACAATTACAAAGTTGAGCTTCATCTTGTTTACGTAACTCCTCGACCCACAGGTAGTTCTAAGTTTCAAATGATGATTGCCCGGCTTTCTGGTACAGTTAGTTAAACCTGACATCTCGGTGACAGGGTGATGAACTCCTTGTGGTCCGGGTGTCGTGGAATGATAAGCCATTACACATCAGTCGTAGAGACTGGTAATTTGACTTACCTGTAATCGGCACAACATTCAAACTTGGACTCGTCCGGGAAGGTATATAGTCCCTTATATCGATATATGCCTTTATCGGACAAAATTATAATGTCTACATCTTCTAGTTGCTTTGACTGAACGTCAATTTCAAATGTGCAACTATTGGATAAATATTACTAGAGTTATTTGAGGTTTCTTAGAAACCGATTTACTCCTTGCCCCTGTATACAAGGAACTCCTTTTTATTAACGCCTGAAGTGCGAATTTTGCGCCATTCTTTTTGCCGGCTTCCAAGCGTTCAGATGTGTGCATCGACGCCAGAAAATTTCACTTTCAGAAGGCGATCTGTAATGTCGGGGACTTGTCCTATGCTTGGGATGAAACCTTTGTGAAGAGCGGGCAGAAGAATCACAGTCCAACCAACACCCACCAAACAACCATAAACCATCAATCAGCCAACCTATTGCCTACCAATTATCACCCAACTACCAGTTGTGAAGACTGACGCCAGTGGGGTGCCATATACCCCAACCAGTCTAACAGTACCAGAGCTTGGTGTAGCTGAGGGACAGTATGGTGAACTGACTTGTGGGAGAAAGTGCTGTGTGCCTATCCAGTTGCTGTGTCCTTTATGGTGAGGTACTTCTCCACCATCTGATCCAGTTGAGGCAGTCACCTAAGACAGTCGAATCATCAGGAGCTGAGGGAAGCATCAACGATAGAAAGAGGATAAGTGCCAGTTGATACCATGTTTTGCTATATTCCTCACAGCTCCCATGTTTTCCAATGATGACAAGGTGTTATCTCAAGGACCTTCTGGCTGTTAGGGTATCTTTATACTCTGGACCTTATATTCTGGGATCCTTCCACTGAAATCTGGCATCTACTTCACTATTATATGTATATGTTATATTGATTACATGCATTCATTTTCATGGCTGACTTAGGTGTCTCTATTTCACCTTTTTAAGTGTTTAGCTGTTGTGTGTGTATGAATCTTCACTATATGTGTTAACATGGTTATGATATGAACTATCATAACCTGGGAGCTTTCTTTAGTAAGTAGTGGGGGTGTCCAGCCAAGTGTGCCTAGGAATATTGTATTCATATACAGATATATTTTGTAGTGCCAATACTTGAGTTGCCCTACTCCAGAAATAAGTTGAGCATACAGTGGCCACCGGGAATCCCTTAGACCAATACGAGCCAAACGACTCAACATAATTATTTCTGAGTGCTGTTGGTTCTGAAGGAGAAATCCTTATTTCAGGCACGTGACAGGAGTGATATGTGACACCGGGGGTGGGCAGAAAAGCCACATTTCTCCCAGATTTACGTTACCTATCATGGAATCAAGAGTTGCGATGTCCATAGTACCCTGGTAACTCATCGCAGTGCCTTTCTTCTTGGACTGTAGTGATCTGTTTATGCCTCCGAACTGTTCACTATCTCCCAAACGACCCTCAGAGCATCTAGATTGTCAAACATCAATTTTCAACCAAGTGGTGCAGAACCGGCTGAGCTATTCATTTAATTACACACCGACAGGACTTGGAGAAAATATCCAAAGGACGCTAGCTACCAGGGACCTCTAAAGTGATGCTTGCCACTCTGCATGGAGAATGCCTGTCTCCACCTTTACTGGTGCCATCGAAATTGCAACTCTTCGTTTGCTGCTGAAAATGGAGACAGATCGCTTATGCAAGTGTCCCAAGTGCTATGATGTCGATTCCTAATTCAAAATTCAACATTCCTTATGAAACATTTATCTGTCTGTCCCAACTATTCAATAATTTATTCAATATTGTTTAACTTTATTATATAACCATGTTATGTCTCGAAACTTATTTTAACTAATTTAGGCTCAAATAAAAAACGCCTAAATGAGACTTCATCATTTTTTTTTTTTTTAAATATCCAGAAACCGTGAGTTGTTAACCCTTTGGTTCGGTACTATGGACATCGCAACGCTTAACTCCATGCTAGGTAACGTAAATCTGGGAGAAATGTGGCTTTTCTGCCCACCCCCTGTCACCGAGATGTCATAGTGATCTTTCCAGCTCTGTTCATATACCTTTTACGTCAATTAACACTCCGCAAACTTTCCAATATTATTCATCTCTGAAGTTTTGTTAGGCGTATTTTAGGTCTTTCTCTATCTTTTTTTCCATCTGGGTATAATTTAAAAAAGACATTCTAGTTATAAATGTTTCTCTTTTCTTCAGTTTTGTACTGTCCAGTGTCGTCGTCTTTTTCTAACCTCGTGATTCCCTGGAATTGATCCCCCCCCCCCCCTTCTTATTCAGCTCCACGTTAAGGATTCTGTCATTTCATTTCTTCAGCTCTACGCAGGCACCGGTTAGCCTATTCACAGTCAAGCTAACTGCCATGAATTTGCTGATTTAAAGTGTCGGCCCTGACTTTTGGACGAATCAACATCATAGCGCACGGGTGTAACCCATAAGTGCTCTGTTCTACTTCTAGCTTAAGCTGAATCTGAAGAATTTCAGCGCAATGCACGAACTCCGTTGCATCGGCGGGGATTCTGAAATACTTTAAGGTAGATTTTTATCTACAAATTTTGCACAGGCAGCGCCGTTAAGCTACTCTTTTCGCTTTCCAACTACCAATGTGTTTTTTACGTGCACAAGAATACACACGGGTGTCTGATCTTACTACCAGAGACACAATTACCAAAACTCCACGAGAAAAAAATCCCAGCCTTCACCGGGGCTTGAACCCGGGACTTCTAGCCCTCGGAGCGGACACCATACATCGAGACCACTCAGCCCCGTCAACTCAGACCACTCATGCCCTGAACTTTGTGTGACCCATCTTTTTGTTACACTCATCCTTATTGGTCACTATTTCAGTGGCGTTGGTAGTCGAGATTTAGTTTATCTCCAGAAAAAGTAGGTCACGTTCCATTCATAATTTTTTTGGACTGGTCTACTTTAATGAGAGTTACGGGTGTGTCGCTCTGTTGTTTGGTTTCTGGCTTGTCTTGCGTTGACGTTTTTCTTAAGAGAAAGAGAATGCACATGACATAGGTTGCAGCACTTTCTAGGGGGCTGTGTGTTAGACCCAGTTTCTGCATGTTTTTGTAGTATTAAAAGCGCTCGCATGTTGAAATATAGAACATGCGATATCAACGGCATTTGGGAACAACCCGTCACCTTGTGCCAAGGTTGGGTAACTCAAGGTCGACCAATCAGAAGTGAGCTAGTGTGTATATGGGTAGACTCTAGGGGACTATCATGGAACTAACCTAGTCATGTTTTTATCTTGTACTTTTAGTCAGTTCTGACACAGCTGATTATTTATCCATGACTTCAAACTGTCCGCGAGTTCAGGACAGGTAGAGATCTCTGAAATGGGCCCCTTTTTCGCTTCATATACAGTATTTGTTTTCAGTTTCTTTGATATAAGTCTGCGGTCCATATTCTCTGGATCTATTACCTCTGTATCTGTATAGTATTGCTCTCGGTGGTACCCTGTCTGATGCTAATCTTGTTACATGGCCAAACCATTGGATTTGTTGTCTACCTATAAAATTCAGTATTAGTAATGTGTCGACTCTCCTCCGGATATCATCGTCCCTAAGTCAGTCTTTCCTCGTTACACCTAGCATAGTACGTTAACATTTAATTTCTGTCGTGACTATTTTTCTTCTGTCTTCTGAATACAGTGTCCACGTTTGACAGCGTTGGTAAGACTATTGTGTTGAACACTGTTCTTTTGGTATTCATATTCATATGCTTGCATTTCAAAATTGGTGCCATTCGGCCTAAAGTTTGATTAGTTTTATTGCATCTTTGTTGGATATCTTTATTAATTCTTCCGTCTTTTGAATAAATGCTTCTTATTACTGAGAGGATAAATGTTAATGTTTTCGGCTGGGCCCAAATGAAAGGTATATCCATAAAAACCAACCTACTGTGACGCGTTTGAAGAGAAACACAAACAGGATGTTTTATTTTAAAACTTCTCTTCCTAGGAATCCATAATGTATAGCTGAGTTAAGTTAAGAGCTGGCATCACATCACTCGGGACATTCCATAAGCGCCCCGTTTCCATCTTCAGCAGCCAGTGCAGAGATCCAGTTCCGACGGTATCAGCAGCACTCGCATCGTATTTAAGTCTTGCTTTTCACCTGAACGTTGAGAGTCAGCCAGATCTCGTGGTCCCTACCTAGTGTACCAACTTCTCCAGACCACGATGATTTAGTTCTTTCTTGTTCTTTTAAGAGGATCGACTTCATTGCACCGGGTTTTATCCTTTATGGCTTGGCCTTTCTCCACAGGACAGCTAGCTGCCTGCCGGGAACGTCACACACGTCATGTAGCTCCGGCGACGATCTCCGGGGATCTTCCCAAAGAATGCACTCGTGAACTGAACGGTACATCCACAATACGAACACACGAATTTCAGAGAGCAAGGCAATCGGCTTGCCAACTTGGCCACGGAGTTAGTTGACCTCAGCAGTGTTCATTCGCGCATCAAGGGCCCTGATAACATTCTAACTTGCCATGCATCAATTAATAAACAGAATAATGGATAAGGCTGCTAATGGAGTCTTACCTGTAAAACCACTTGCACATTCGGATTGCGTTTGAATAGACGAACTAACGATTCTTTAATGTTGCGAAACAGGAAGTCGTAGACACTGATGTGGAAAGGTGTTAGGTGATAATAGTGATTCAGAATAATAAGATAATGTCCTCGCGAAGATATGGCATCAATACATTTAGATGTTGGTACTAGGTCCTCCATGGGTTTCATTTGTGGCTGGAAATGGAACAAAATTTTTGTTAATATGTGGATTGTAATTTCGTGATTTCGGGGTTGGGCGGGGGGGGGGGGGGGGGGGGGGGGGGGGGGGGGCCAGATGGGGGGCGGGGGGGGTGGGCATTCTTAAAGAGTCAAGTTTAGGTTTAGAGGACGGATCAACTTCGTGGCACAAGGATAGTAACTCGTTAGTGCTCCCTTCTACTTCTGACTCAAGTCTGAGTCCGAATATCTAAAATATCTTTAAGAGTCTACAATCAATTCAATAGTAATCGGGATAATACTATAAATTCTCTATTCTCTACAAAAGCAGCTAACACAGAGTTGGAATAGGAATACTGCCCTGTTTAGTTTGATTTTATGTTTATTTGGTTTCAAAGGGCCACCGTTGTAGGCTAGAAGCTTGCCTAAGGGGCCCGATTGTTAGGCGTTCAAATCCGTACTGAGTAAAATTTATAATCCCCGGAGATCATCGCCGAAACTACAGAGCTCGTGCTTTGTGCAACGTTTTCGCAGGCAGCTAACCATACTGAATAAAATCCGATGTAATTCAATAGATAATGTAGACTGTTTTAATGTAGACTGGTTTTATTTTTTTTTTTAAGTTAAATGACGTTTTTTTTTTTTAAACACTGCTCGACAAAGGAAGATATACCAACAATGCTGATACAACGAGTTGTTCACTGTTAATAATTATCTTCTTTGACGCAGACGATCGTGCTAATCCACAGATCACAATCCCTGGTTGCCTGGAACAGATCTCTTACTGATATCCCTCAATGCCATCGTCTCAGCCCATCCAGCATCATCTCTCTTGGTCTGCCTCTACACCTCTTTCCACTGATCTTTCCAGTTGTCACGATGTTTTCCAATGCTCATCTCCTCATTGTCGGCGTCTGTACGAATGGTATAGATGTGTAGGTTACTAGAGATGCATGACCACTCCTTTCCTTACGCAGTGATAAATACAACATAAAATAGGACTTGAAAGCTCACCAGAGGGACTCAAAAGAAGCACACAAATAAACCAAACGTTTTGACTACTGTCTTTTTCAACAGAAAACCAAATATAAATCAAACTGTGACTGAAAACTTTTAAGGACAGGACAACAGATCTTCTAAAGGTCAACATGAAACACAGAAAAATAGTCACCGGAAAAATATGGCCACGAAGCGCTATATTAAGAAACGAAATAATAACAAACGCCTATGTGGGAACAGGAAGAAAAATTTAATCTATCTGTATTGAATATTAATCTCTCCAGGACGTTAAACGCCAAAATTAGGAATGACACGATTTCCTATGGTGATTTTCCTGCTGGTGTGATGACGGACTTTCTACCCCACCAGGACATCACACAAGCGATAAACACCCGATGACACAAAGTGCCACCATGCGGATGAGGATCGCCGTGGAGAGGTCCCAGAAACCGCGTTCAGACATTTGGCCATATTTATGGCCTGCCTATATTGCGGCCCCTGGCAAAAGCCAGAGTAGGGCTTCAAATGACAAAAAAATTTCGTCCTGAAAAGGACGAAACTGGATACTACTGGTCTGATCACTGGGGCCAGATTTTATAGCAGTAGCTGAGATATCGCTTTTGTTTTGGTGGTCAGAACTATTAAAATGGAGGGATACTAGTTTAAAAGCCTTTTTTGCGGATATCCTTAACGTGTTCAGGGAACCCGTCTGCTAGCTTGCTACGCGTTTCCCAAAAATATGCCTTATTACATTTTTGCAGACGATATTTACGTCTTCCCGTTGGTATCCCACGGAGTACATATTGGGTAGGGGTGGAGTACCCGCTTATATATTCTCTTTCCGTCCGTCCCACTACTGGTAAAGATCACATGTTCGTAAAGGATAGTTTCCCGCTAGTGAAAGGGCTTACGGAGATAAACATAAAACAGAAAAGACCAGTGATTTTCAAACAAACTTGGCTGTTAATTCCACTTCAAAGGCTAAAAATATAGACAAGAATATGTCTGTCTAATGATAGCAAGAGACAAATCGGGGACTTACCCCGTGTATGAACGGCTGGGTGTGTGGATTCCAGCTTACGGAGAAGTTCTGACTCTCCAGAACACAACTGAGAGGCCGATGCCACGTTCTGGTCGCTGCTCTCTTGACGTCGGTACATTTGGAGATCTTTTGTATATGTTCATAATGACCACGGCTATTGGAATCTCCGAAAAAGATTATCTGTTGATATATATGTATGTATTGTATATATATATATATATTATATATATATATATATATATATATATATATATATATATATATATCGCTGAGAGAGCGTATTATATTATTTTAAAGTTCTCATTTCTTAACTATTTCTATTTTAATAATTTCACCATGGATGATTTTTCGGTCCTTCGGAGAGGGAGATATGACTTCGCAAGGTGATGATTTTTCAATCTTTCGGAGAGGGAAATATTTTTTTTGGTGGGGAGGGATACCAGGACATCTGGGGAGTAAAGGCAGCCGGCGTGATGCTGACCGCATCACCCACAAAGTGCCGATCGATCTATAAAATAAAGATTAGCCCTATATGCCTAGTACGTCCGAAGGCGTGGAAAAGGGCCCGTCACTTTACCTATTATGCATCAGTAAAAGAGTTTTAAAAAAGTAGAGGACCCTTTTCCAGCCTTTAGGCGTATAGGGCATATAGGGCATATAGGGCTAGACCTATATTTTATAGACCGAGCCACATAACATGGGTGATGTGGTCAGCATCACACCGGCCGCCTTTACTTTCTGGGACTGCACCTGGTACCCACTCAAGGCTGGGTAGACATGGGAGCCAATGTCATTTTTGAAAAAAAGCCCGGCTCTAATAGGGAGGGAACCCACGACCTTCCGATTCGCGGCAAGCGTCTAGCCGCTCTGCCACGGTGACTCCCATTATGCAGTAACAACAGTTACCTGCTTGTTTTGAAAGCACGTTGTGTAGTTTGGTTGCACTATCTTACAGAACCGAGGATACCACGTCTTCCCAGACATATGCCCCGTTGGAATCTCCTGAGCCCACGTGATCTGTGACAAGACTTTGTTACATGGTAGATGTTCACTTGAGTTTCCTATAAGAAAAAAAAAACGGAAAGTGATTTAGGTGTATTATCTCAGTGAAGGCGTAATGAGATTGACTTCGTTTCATTTTGTTTCTTCTTTTTTTATGCTCTGGTCTCTCCAAGGTTCGGATAGCCGCCTGATAGAGCGTCGCACACAGCACGAACTCCGTAGCTACAGTGACTATCTTCAGGGCTCTCTGGAAAAAACAAACTGCTATCATTAATCAAAAATAAAATGTGTCGGCTTCCCAAGAAAACAAAAAATAACCATGAATGATTTGGTGACTGTTGCGCATAGAGAGCTCCCGCCAACATACAACGAC